TTTTACTATTTGCAAAAGTTCTGGTTTTAAAGCGTACTCTGGGAACTCGATGCTGTTGGTACAAAGCCATTCTTTTATGTTGTCTTTTCTCTATACGGAAGTTGGTGTTGTATTTTCCTGCGCAACGCGATTATGATACGTTGCATTGTCCTTCACAATACACATAGGCCTATCGAGAGCTGGCAGTTAGCTGATGTTTCATCCAATCTTCGAATATGTCGGCGTTCATTTCAGAGTGATAGTCTCTGTTGTCTGTTGATTTCGATTGGAAATAAGAGCGGCATCGGAAACAAAACCCACATTGCTGCTTCCAGCATGAGCGATGATTAATCGCTGACCCTTGCTGGAAGGGACGTGCCGACCCATAGTAGCGTCTATCGACTGCCACTCTTGCTCTTTAGTCTTTAGTATGGTGAGCGTTAACCCAGGTTTCATCAATGTAAACTATGTCGAAACCCTCCTTTCTCTTTTCTCTGACTTGTAGATATCTGCTCCTCGAGGCAATGAGGTCCAATCGTTCGCATAGGATGCCTTTATTGTGTCCTAGTCTTTTTCTGAACGTGAACCCTGCACTTTTCACAATTTTCCATAACGTTGTCTTGCTCGAAGAAATTTGCATTTCTTCTTCAACATATTTCTTCAACTTTCGGAGGGTCACTAGTTCTCGTTTTTCAAACATTCTGACTATAAGTATAAGACGTTTTATCACATCTCGGCCAAAATCATCAACTTTCCGTGGCCTATCAACAACGGGTCTTTTGGGGTTCATTTGCAGACTTTACACTGCTTTGAAGAAGGCGATTTATTGTTCGCCGCGATAAAAGTAAAAGTTTCTTAAAAGCATGAACAACTCGTTTCTTTGGATTTGCAATGGAACAGTATGTACACAAAATGTATATCCGCGATTGGCTTCCGCACAAAAGTGTGTATATACATGTTGCACAACAGTCTGTGCGGTGAAATATTTACTCTTAAGGGGCTTTGTACATTTCGAGGACATTTTCACAACTCAAAAAAAGTCTCGTCTGCCCCGAGTCATGCACGAATTGATCCTTTTCTACTTTTAGGCAACACAAGACGCAGCGCTCAACTCTCAACACTCTCCGTATGATTTCCATCGGCGAAATTCACTCATCATCTCACCCAGGCCCCACTTGTAGGCCTACTTGTATGTTTCGACAGAGTACACGCCTTAAGATTATTATGAAAGTGCGTTTAAGTTTTCAAGAGATTTGTGAGTGAGCTGTTTTCAGTTCGTCAATAACACCCGACTTGTCTGTGTTGAAAAAGTGGTAAAAAATGACCAGCATGTCAGCGTGCTGTAAATACATGATTTTTTGTTTCCACTGGGGCTCGGGGTAAATACAAAGCCCAAATAAGCTATATTTTGCAGTAAACCAACTACGCTTTTAGAAAAATAGTTTTCGTAACGTCCAGGTCATTTCACTTTATTTTGCAAAATTTCAAATCGAAATACTGAGAACTGATTGAGCAGGATTTTTCTAACCCGTGGGCAGCTGTGGCTTAACGACCTATAGACTATACATGTAGTACATGTAGTTGTAGGCCAAGATCTACAACAAGGCTTTCCTGTCTACTCGGTGACGCTGTTCCTTCATATCAATTTTATTTTCCAAATTTCTGCTCCCTTTTCTTCTCTCCTACTACTGCTCTTTGCAAAATGGTATTTTCAAGACCAGACTTGTTTTGTAACATTACCATTCTCGATTCCTTTCCTTTCCTGCGGTTTGAAGATCTTCCTTGGGTTTATGTTTGTTTGAATAGTAAGGAAAAGCCATACCAACAAAGAAAAGACATGTCAGGAACATGCAGGAAAAACAGGATTAACAAGCCCATAGAATTGTTTGAAGGAGCACAAAAAAAATTATTATTATAATACATGTAATCGATTTTGACTAAAGAAGAAAGCATTGGCAAATTGTTTTCATTTCAGGTGGATCAACTTTCAGGAATCTAACTCAAGTCTCTTTACTTGCAAGAGCACCATAACACCAATAATGTCAGGAAAGAGAGAAGGGGTGGTGCCACTGACTGAAGTGTCTTTAGGCCATTCCCAAAGGGGTGACATTTCTCGTTCATGCACAGTAGAGTTGTAAATGGGCTGATTCATCAATGCCACGCTCATAAATGTGCCTGATCTACAACAGGGAACTACTGCTTTTTCTTTCCTAATCTTTACTACATGTATTGTCATTTTTCCTCTACTTCTTTTGTATGTTTGTCACTCTTGTGATCCGCTATTTCCGGGGTGCCTTGAAAGTCAAAACAGACTTTGTGCTGTTGAAGCTAGAGAGGTGAGCAGAGTAAGCCTGATTCCCTGTAAAGACTTCTCCATTGACATCCACCCCTTGGCGCTCATATTCATATATATATACATGACCTTATGCAGTTGCGAGTGCCGTAAAACCTCTACTAAATAAATAAAAAAGAAAGAGAGAGAGACAAGAGACAGACAGACAAACAAACAGAGGTAGAGAGAGGTAGAGAGAGAGAGAGAGAGAGAGAGAGAGAGAGAGAGAGAGAGAGAGAACAGACATATGTGGTATAGCAGTTTGAGTTGGGCGCTTTACTGCAGCTGCTCACTGAATACGCAAATTCGATTCCCAAGTGGGGAGAAATTTTCTACCGAATACCGCGGTCTTTCTGCTGGGATGTTGGATCCCTCTCATCCCGCGTTGTCCCTGACAGGCGTGGTCGGCGGGAGCTCCTTAACGATCTAAATAATGTCGGTGGGGACGTAAAACTTCTACAAGTTACATTTTGAGAGAGAGAGAAAACGTCTCTCTTTTTGACTTTTCAAATAATGTTGGACCTTCAAGGAACACTAAGGCCGGTTGTTATACAGAGAGAAGAAACGCATATCAAAACATGTCCGGTGTATACATAATACAGTAGGCCTACAGTCCATGCCGGCTTTAACTTTAAGCATGGTCGTCGGGAGAAAGCTTAAGCGTGCTTAATAAAGCCGAGGCGAGCTTGAGTGCGAAGTAGACATAATCCAGAGATTTTCATGTAGAAAATTTCCCGTGCTTTTACCCTTTGTTTGTAATGTAAGTAGGCCTGTAGCGGTCCCGCAAAAGTGTGCACTGTTATTTAGACACCCGCCATGGTAGTTTTTGTTCGCTTGTTTGTTTTTGTTTTGTGGTCGAATGGGAAAAGAAAACTTAATCTAGACAGCCAGTCACGATACAGCACACTAGGCCTACACACTGCCTGTGCGTACCACTGCCTTCATCCCGCCTCGCGCGTGATACACAATCAGGATTAATGGATAGCGGGGGTCAAAGTCAAAGGTGAAATCGCAGCCAGCCTCCCTTTCTCGTCTCCCCGACTCTCTTTGTATTTTTTTTTTGGTCGTGTGTAGCTTTGCCATAGGCCTAGGCTAGATCCTATGTCCGCGCGCGCGCGGCTGTGTGCATCTGCCTTCCTCTCCGCCCGTGTGAGTGTGTGTGTCCATCACTTGCGCTCTTTGTGTTTCTCTTGACACACTCCACTGCTGCGGTGTAGACTGTGTTCGAACTTCGATGGGTCATCATGAAAATATTGACTGTCTAAACTGTCTTGTAAATGAAGCGTGCTTGAAGCCGAAGTTACCGTGCTTAAAGGCGTGTAATATAGCAAAAATTCGGAAAGAGACGTTTAGCATGCTTGAGTCCGAAACGTTAAAGCCGGCACGGACTGTAATTGAGGTGTACAAGTTTCATGTTTCTTTCTTCCGTTTTTTGAAATGGGGGATGGGGGTAAGTGTTTTACGGTGCTCGCAGCTGCATAAGGTCATATGGGCACGCAGGACACATTTTCAGTTTGGTAGGCATTCATTTTATTAATCTTACCCGGGTACCGGCCGAAGCCTGCACTTATCGATTTTAGGACTGCCAATGGATCTTTAACGTGTACAACCTGCACATGGGACCTCTGAGATTTTTTCCCTCCTTATCCGAGAAGGCTAATTTTCTTCTCTAAAATGTTCTCCTTTCACATTCTTTCCTGCTCTCTAACTTTAACAACATTCTGTCATCTGCTTTTGTCTCCACTTTCTGCCCCCACCCCCTCACCTCTTCCTATTTATAAGCTCCTGACTCTTTCTCATTCTGTAGCCTTTCCACTGCTTGTCCTTGGCTCCTTACAGCTGTCTTTCAGCCACACCCCTGATCTTATGGTAGGTAAGATCTACACCTAGCCTTCTCATACAAGGACGAAAAATTCAAGAGGTCCTGTGTGCAAGTTGCGCACGTTATGGTGGTCCAAAATAGATAAGACTAGATCTAGGCTTCGGCCGCCACCCGGACAAAATTCAAAATTTCCAACTAGCTACTGAAAATGTTTGGTGTGTCCTGTGCGCTCTTATGAATACATATTACATGTATGACCTTATGCAGTTGCAAGCACCTTAAAACACCTATGGTACCAAAAAAAAAAATATATATATGGCATCGTGGGGAAATCAGGCACTCGTCAAAATAATGAAAGTAAAGAAACTGCCACTTCCCTTTTCCACTGGTTTGACAATTTTTACAAAAATTTTGTTTTTGAGCTCAACACCTATGTCCATTTTATTTTTTAAAACCCATTTCTGTGTGAATTATATTGTAAAACGATTAAAATAAAGGCATATAAAACGTAAATTGTCAGTTTCGACAGACTCAACTTATGCAAATAACCAAACTTTGGCGGCCATTTTCTTGCAAATTTTACCTTCGAAACCAGGCAACCCCCACCTCCTTCAATCACAAATATTTCAACTTGTATTCAAAATAAATGGGTATTTCTTTCATCAAAAGCAAGGCAAATGAACAAGCTTTAAAGCGAAACCAATAACTCCCCATGGCCATGCCCAAAAACTGACGAACGTCTCATTCCACTGTGTCGTGACACACATAGATCTCTCTCTAATTTTAACAAATTTCAAATGCTATTACAGTAAATAAATAAAAATACACGAGTCTCTAATTTTTAAAAAAGAAGCATATAAAAATCAATCAATATCCAGAACTTTTCATTTATTTTGAATAAATGCAGAGAAAAAAGTCATAGACACAAAAACCCCCCCAACTATTATCATTATTTTATATGTGTAGATCTACATAAAATGGTTAATCATTTCAACAAAGAATGGCTGGGCCAACAAAAACCAGTTTCATGCCACTTAATTTATGACCAGTGTTGTACAGTGGAATCCTGTTATAACAATAATGAAGAATTCACCTATAAACTATAATTATGGACCCAGTGGATAGATCCATAATCCATGCATCACGAATAACAATGTATGAAAGCCAAAGGGAGACTCCTCTACTCTACCAATATTAGTGAATTTATTTCTATTTCTATTTATAGAAATCTCAAAAGTAGGTCAAATATGCAAATGAGTTGAATGAAATCTGTGATTTTTTACCTGAAATAGATAAATACCCAATATCCATTTCTTTTTGGTAAAATACCCCACTATGGTAAATTTAAAACAAAACTTAATTCTTTTGTCAGTCAGTACATAATTCCATAGCTGCACATTATTATCATAAATTTATAGGCCTACTAGTACTACTAGAGGAACAAGAAAAGCACGAATACATGTGATGCCGAAGCTACACATTATCTAAATCGCAGTGGGCTGGGGGGCACCCAGTCGCTGACTGGCCAATTCAGCGGTTCAGTTTTTGTGTATGCATTTTTACAGAAAGCCCCATAGCATCTAGCATTGTGGTAGCTTCAACCTGAACAACTCAGGTGTCAAAGGATGCTGGAATGGATAATCTATAACTTTTTTCTTCAAAAATACAGTGCAGCCTCTCTATAGCACAGCAGCGTCCTGCGTTCGGCAATTGAAATGCAACGTAACACTGTTTAGGTGTGAACGGACAGACTGTGCACACGCTGATGTAGGTGCTCAAGAGTTAAAGACAATTAGTTTTAAGTTTTGCTTATAGTATAGACAAAACTGATCTCCCAACACTAGCAAAATAACATTTTCTAAACGCCCCAACGAGACAATCAAGAGAATAATGCTAAGGCACAAATGCTGTTGTCTCCTGTGATAGACAGAGGTCAAAAACATAGTCTGTAGAAAATTCAACAAAAATAAATGTGACATTGAAGTTCACATATGATACAAGACATACTGTTAGCTCAGTTAGTGTCATGCTGAACTATAGAGCGAACAGCCCTGGTTTGTATCCTCAACTGGACATTCTTGAAATTTCAAATCCATTTTGCTCAGTTCTATCAGAGATGGACATCAAATTCAGAGGTCCCGCCTCTAAAAAGCCTAACAGTGTTGAAATGAGCGTTAAACCCATACCCTTAATTACAAACTTCACCAAGTTATGATTTTGGTGACCTTTTCAACTGACTCAACTTGACAGGTGTTTGATGTTAAGTTTTTCAATGGGGATCGAGAAGACTTTTTGGGTGATGTAAAGCACTGACGACACACAGCAAGGTACTTGTCCGCTCCTCCAATAACCTCCACCTAAAAACATACAAACATTTTTTAAAAAGTAATTTATTATTAAGGAAAAGTGACATAAATCAAAATAAAACACAAAAACACAAAACAAAATTTTTTTAACAATCAAAGATAATAGTAGTGGAACTCAGATTCAACAAAGTCGTTGGGCCTGACCTTCAATTTCGTTGGATCAGAGTGTTCGTTACACAGTAGTCTCCGCCTAAACGCACGGTGCTCGGGATGGCTCTTTAGCTTGTTTATACAGAGCGTGCGCTTACATGAACCTGTGCAAAGGGAGGAAGGGACGCAGACATCCCAATTCCTTGATATTCTAGTGACCTTCCTTGGAGGTGGGGGTCAACAAGTGACATAAGATTTAAACAGTAGGCTAAGCGAAAAATGATTCACGATGCAGGTGCCATCGATGATTTCCAAGAATAGATAAGGTTCGTTTGCAGGAGGAAAATGAGCGAAGCCACGTCAGCAGGGACTGTTCACCCTGCAAGCGACTTCGCTGAATCCGAGCTTACTCATAAATTTATGTGTTCCTTGAATCTGAGTTATTTTTTATTGATTTTAATGGATTAAAAAATCGGGGAATCCACCTTTCGTTGAATCCGAGTTCCACTGCATGATCCCTTCATATTTTCATCTGTACATTAAACACCAAGCTTAACATGAAAGATGAACAGGTTATAATGTGCCTTTACTGAGCACATGATATTTATTTACGCTAGCCAAGGTTATTTTCATTAAAGATCAAACTAAAAACTAAGGTAACAAATAAAAAGTAAGACATGAAACTACATGAAAACAGGATAGAGCAATTTTGTACTCGTGACCAAACTTTACAAATTATTTTATTCATACAACTTTCAGGCCAACATAAAAATTGAGTATCTGTTTTTGTATAATAAACTGTATTGAAATTGTCAAAACGCCAACAAACCTCAGTCTCAGAACCTTTCCTTTTTGTGAAAGATGCATCATTGTAGCAGTTCATGCAAACAGCAGTTAACTTCATAACATTTTCAGCCAGAGGTACAAGGTTTAAAATATCTCCAAATCCCTGGGGAAAAAAAGAGAAAAAAAACCTTTTAATTTTAAGGCTATCTGTGGGTAAAATTTTCCCCATATTTACCCTGTTTGACAATGCATTCTTTTTCTCCATTTTTGAAAAATACAACAATTTCCCTCAAAGTTTCAAGCCCCCATTTCAATCAAGTACGTTTAAAAGTCATTTAAAAATGAGTTTTTAAAAAATAAATTGCACTTTGGGTCATATACTGGGCGTGAGCCGGGCTATCCGCGAAGAGCACAGGCCCTAGAGTAAAGTCGAATGTGCGTCCACCTTAAGGCCTTTAGAAAGCCATAATTCGGCTATTTTCGTATCGATCCAGATTTTGAAAGTATCGTGCGTCACCAGACTTAGCTATCATTTCTGTATGCTTAATAGACTTCATTCTACATTGCATTTTAATGCGTCCACTTTGGTCTGGTGACGCATCCACTTTGCTGGTGAATGCGTCCACTAAGTCTGGTCAGTGTCACCACCCCCCCTAATTCTCCATAATATTAGAAATAAATGATGTTTTAAAATAGAATCTAGATCTATGTTCACCCAGTCTATCATTCTTCATCCTATTATTATCCACTCACTCATTCTTCATTATGTAAGAAATAAAAATGAATAAAACCTTTAGATCTATGTTAAGATGTTTCATTTATTAACATTGACATTAAAGTGACAAAAAACATTTAGGCTACATGTAGACTCTATTTATTAATTTACAATGAAATATCTTTATGCTTATGTAGATTTATTTAAAACTTTGGTTTGCAATGTTCAGTAATTTAAATGCAAGTAAATTTATGAATAAAAAATATGTGGATGAATGGTAAGTACAAGGGAGTTATGAAATAGTGGGCATGCAAACATCACAAATAAAAGTCACTGCTCCTGGCTCTTCGACCTGTCTTTCCACTCAATTCTTCCTTTCTGCAGCAAGTTGCATGCCACCGGCTATCACCTACAGTCCATGCCCATGGCTCCGACACCCTCAACAACTACTGTCCATCATCCCATGCATTTCATCATCCACCTCACTCTCATCATCTATCAGAATATCTTCATCTCTACCACTCTCTGTCACTTTCTACATTCACTCTTTTCTTCTCCTACCTTTCAACAGCTTTTTCAAAGCAGCTTCTTCCCGCTTTATTTTCTTAGTTTCAGCCTCCTCGTGTTCCTTTTTTCTCACCTCTTCTGAATTTTTCTTCTTCATCTCTTCTCTTTCCTTCTTCTTTTGCTCTTTCACCCGAAGCACTTCCTCTTTCTCAGCTTCTTTTTTTCTTAACATCTCATTATATATAATATTCATGTGAATGTCTATAAAAAATTTTTTTTTTAACTGCATGGAGGTTGCATGGTGTACAAAAACAGTTTGTCCCCTGACACATGCGCCAGGTCCTTAAACTCTCGCTGACGTTGGGCAAGTGTGAGATATATAGTCTTACACTTTCTTTGGGACTTTCCAGGCGTAAGATTATAAATGTATTTGAATGTCCCCTAAGGGGTTTTCTGGATGAATCAATCCATGCCTAGATCTACCCTCCTAGCCTAATATTTAAAGTCTTTCACAAATTTTTATACTAAATCTATCTACCTGGTGCTACGGAACCAAGCAAGCTAAAACAGGGTGCCCACTACGGATGGGATCGGCTGATCGCCCGACTCGATCGCCTAAAAAACAAACGCGTTTGACTGAAAACAAACACGTTTGTCTTTGAGGCGATCGAGTCGGGCCACCGTTAAAGACGTTAGTCTTTGAGGCGACCGAGTCGGGCGACCGTCCGATCCCGTCCGTAGTGAGCACCCCGTACAAGTTTTCAGTTTCAGGCAATCGGGTCGGACGATCGGCCCGATCCAGCTGTAGTGGGCACCCCGTATTTGTGATCAGACTATCGTGTTCATGATTGATTTAATCTAGATCTAGATCTAGCTAGAAGATGATTCAGTCCAAACAGGACTATTGGGGGGTAGGGTCGGGTCGGGTCGGTTTGCTCGCCAGATTGATGCCGCAAAACGGCTATCATGGCACAAGTCGATCATCCCGACTCGACCTGACTTGTCCCGATCCCATCTGTAATGGGAAGGGCACTGGGAACTGGACAGGTACTGCGAAGTGCAAAGGAGCGAATTGTCCCCCTTGGCGTTATTTTTAGTCATGGAAGAAAGTTTCGGTGTTTTTAACTAAATTTTATTATTATTTTTCCAACTTTTGCGGATAATTGGCTAAACTTCGCGAATTCACGAAAATGGCAAAAGTTGTGCTGAGGGCAAAAGTTGCGCACACAACTTGCGGGTTGCTGGTGCTAATTTCTCTGAGGACAGTATTATAATGCATGCACGACCTGCATGTCACAAATGCTGCAGTATTGGACTATCACTGGCAAATTTCTGGGTGGTTGAGGAAGCAAAAGTAGATCTTGATTTTCCCCGATCGAGCCTCAGTGTAACATACACTTCTGCCTGTTCGCGTGAGGCGTACTCTCGGACCGGAAAAAGCCGAACGAACATCACAATCTCAAAGATTGGAAGCACTGATAAAACAAACAATTCATTGTGTTGGCATTCGGGAATTACGGAAGCAAAACAGCTTGAAACTTTTCTCAAATTAAATCACAAAGAAGTTACAAATGCACCTCATGTCATGTACTCACAAAAAAACAATGAGGATTAAAACCAAAGCTCGAGAAACAGTGACAAGTGGAAAAATTTACTGCAACAATGTATCCCAGCAACCAAAGTGGCAGTGATCATGAGAAACTTGGGGGGGTTGAAAAAGCCATAATAAAATACATAGACAGCAGCAAAGAAAGCAGAGAAGCATTGTGATGCTAAAACAGTAGAGAAGATCAATTTATATTAAGACAACAAAAAAATGCAGTTCATCCTTTAATTTACTTTACATTTTCTCGTACCTTTTTCTGAAAAGTCCCATCCAAAGCTGCAACAATAACAATTTTGCCTTGATCTGCCATTTTCTCACAAAAAGAGACAATATCAGGAAACTGAAAAACAATTTGGAAAAGATGAAGGTTACAAAAGAGAAAAAAATAATCTCATCATTTCCATACAACAACATGAAAGGTTAAGTATTCAGGTGTGTATATGTGTGTGTGAGTGGGTATAGTCTGTGACTGCATGAGTGAGACAGAGCAAGAGAGAGGGAGAGTTTCCAGCACTCCCAAATCTGCATACGATCATTATAAGAGTGTGCAAGACTCAAGTTGGGTTTTTTTCTCATTAGTTCACATCATAGCTTGGTTTTACTTTGTGGTTAAAGTTAAAAATTCATTTGCGTCATGATGTGGTGGAATCAGGTGCTCGTCCATTTTTGGGTATGTTGAGTTATTGGTATCAATACTTAAAGCTTTTTCATATTTGTTTATCTTTCAGTGTAAAAAATACTCATATATATTGAACTGAAGTCGAGATATTTGAGATTGAAGGAGGTGGGGATAGGCTGATTTCAGAGGTAAAATTTGCGAGAAAATGGCCACCAAAGTTTGGCGACTTCCATAACTTGCGAGTCCTTGGAAACTGAAAATTTACTCTTTTTTTGCCTTTAATTTTAATCAACATTTTTCAGTAAAATTCAGAAAAAAAGGTGTTTTTAATTAGACATAAAAGAATTTAAGCCAAAAAGCAAAAAAATTGGATAAAAATTGCTTAATCGGCAGAAAATGCAGGTATCTTCGATTTAATTAATTTGACAGGGTGATTTCACCATGTTGTCCAACATTTTTCTATTTTTTTTAGTTGTAGTATCTAGTAAATCTGTTGGCCTGGGGACCTCCCAGTGTGCGCTTCATCTTTCATGTCAGACCTCTCACCTCCAACCTCCCTGATCCATTTTCTTACTGTTTGAATTGATGGAGCATTATTCCCTATTACTTTGCATACATCACCATGGGTTTCAATTGCACACTTGCTGAGAAGAGTTGAAAATTTGATCACAACTCGGACATTATAGCATAAGAAGGTTGCATCAATGTTTTGCTCAGCCATTTTCCTCGGATTTGTCTTCGACACAAAGTCTTAAAGAACACCACACTTGACACATCACATTTTTTGTCTTTGTAAGAGTTTTATAGCACTTGCAGCACAATAAGGTCATATAAGTGCCGAAGATTAGAGGAGTTACAAGAGAGTAACAAACACAAAAAAGGAGGAGGAGAGACAAGGACCATAAATGTTTGATAGGAAAGAAGGGGCAAACCACACCAGAGCACCCTCCAACCACCCACGACACATCACAGAATTATGCATTCACCAATGCACTTGCAATTTGGCGTCGAGATTTCTTAGACACGACATTTAGTGGCTGTTGGTTGAGCACTTTTTACTTTATGGAGGGAAACTTTATTTTGAGACAGACCTCGCAAGTTTACTTTTGCCTTTGAGAGATGGCATGGAGGATGGCCTGAAAGAGAAATAGCTCTGCTCCTTCTACCTCAGAGTCATAATCTTCACAAGAGTGGAATAAACCCTCCCGTCATGATCAACAAAGGATAGACTTGAGCGGTTTCAGCACACAACCGCATAAGTAGCATCGGCCGAGTCAACCTCCCGTTTGAGAGGAAAACGTGTGTTTAAGATATAATGTATTGGCACTATTGGCGATGCAAAATCCATAGACTAATTTCCCTCTGTATGGGTCAACCCTCATGGTCAACAAGGCCCACACTCTGCAGGAGGATCAATATAATCTGAAAACCCATGGGGGTCGAGGAAGGGAGGGATTGGGAGAAGGAGATAGGGATAGAAAGAGGGAGAGAGAGGGGGGGGGAGAGAGGGAGAGAGAGAGAGAGAGAGAGAGAAATAAGCAAAAGAAATAATACTTCAATAATTTGTGGCAATGTGTCTACCAAAGACAGTTATATTATATAAAATCGAACTTACAAACTGGCCTTCGTCAATTCCAATGATGTCATGCTTAAGAGCCTCTGACTGAAGATCTGCTAACCTGTCAGCTGAAACTGCTGGCAAAACTTGTCTGCAAAATTTAAAACATTCAAAACATGATAACAGAAATCACACTCAAGGCTTCTCATTTCATTATCAAATGTGGTTTCAAACTCTTTTTCGAACTGAAACACAGTCTCCATACCAGCGGCGTTCAATAAATCTTTACCACAACTGTAAAGGAATTGTACAAAATCAAACTTAATAAATGGGATTTCTATCTTTCTGAAACACTGCATGTGAATTTGAGGGAAAATCTAAAGATTGGTTTTGAATTCTTTTTTTTAATGTAGGTGTTTTTACACCCCCCCTGACAATTTAGATCGTTTTGGAAGTGGGCTTCCACCTTGTCTGTCAGGACCAACTCGGGCTGAAAGGGATGCAACATTCCAGCAGAAAAACCTCGATGCTCAATAAAAATTCTCACAACTCAGCATTGAACTAGGGTCTCAGGTGCCTGTGTTCTACGAATTACAAACAACATTCTTTAAAAAAATATTAGCAAAATCCCAGTTGTTCGAGCTGGACAACATCTAGTTAGCTATTGAAGAGATTGCGGACTATAAAAATATTTTCTCTTTCTCTCTGCCCATCTTTCTGATCCACTCTCTTCAATCTGCCTCCAATTGTGTCTATCTTATTTCTCCTGTTTTAGTCTAAGATTTAGTTAGTTTAGTAAGAGCTTTACGGCACTCGCAATTGCATACGGTTATATAAGGTCATATGAGAGTGCAAAACACAAGTTGGTTGCATTCACAACAGTTTACATCACAGCTTGGTTTTGGTTATGATCAAATTAAAAATGTTTTTTTTTTAATTCATGGTAAAAGTTCCGTTGTAAAAATAACAGTGATTTACATGTAATTTATTTAAAAATAAAAGTATATTCCATTTTATTGCAAAGGCCAATGGCTTTTATAAAATCGAGAATTCTGTTGGGATAATTTGGTACATTAGATACTTCCTTCGGGTCTCTGCAAAGCCCAGACATGATTCTGTTAGTATGAGTCTAATGGTGAAATCTGTGGCCAGACCTGCCACTCTATGAAATCTAAAAATCAGGTTTCTCCAAGGGAAAAAAACTGGGGTTTGGTGAAAAACAATCTGGATTAACGACAAATCACCAAAGTGACTGCCAACACAACTTGGGGCAAGTCAATTACTAAATTCGGAATCGATATTTTGGAAAACAGTGCTCCAAGTTCCTACTGACAACAAGCTTTAAAACAGGTGCTTCCTGTGGCGGAGTAAGATTTTAGAAAAATCTGGTGCAACAGATAGAACAGAAAATTTTGGATACACGTGATCAAAACCGGGAAAATCCGGATGTTTAAGATTTGGGGGGAAAAATCTGGATATCCTGATTCAATCGCGATGAAAGGCAGGTCTCAAGTCTGTGGGGCACATACGACAGAACAGTTTTTCATATCCCCGCAGGAGGTATTCATGTTTCAGGGAGGTGTGTTCAATACGCAATTAAGTAAAAATGACTTCCTGTCTTCTTGAGAGGCCCTAAGGTTTTCGTGGACTCAACTTAGGCATGACAATGTGGAGTTTTTGTTTCTTTGTTTACTTCAATGTGTCTCCCACAGACTGGAGGTGTAGTTTGTGACCATTTATAAAGTCAATCTGTGGGTGAGTGTTCTTTGTTGATCCCACCGGAAGGGACAAAGATTCGTTCACCAGATCAACCTGCTCGTTTCCTCAGATGCCCACATGGCTAGCCTAGCCATGTGAACATGATACTTTTTCCGGTTTCATTTAAAGTGTGTATTCTTCGTTGTTAACTATTTTTGGGTGTATGAGTGTGTAATTTGCGAGAGAGGTAATTCAGGATAGGGAATCAGACAGAATAAGAAAAGATGTATAAGGGGAATTTTGTACGGCGTCGTGGCAGTGGCCTCCGTAGGGAAGATGGAAGCTTTGGCAAGGTGTCTCCACCGGAGCGTACTGTTCGAGGACAGGACGACGGCACCCACGGCTGAGTCCAATTTAGAGCCATCGGTGAAGACTAGCTCTGCACCAGGGTATTTTTTAAATTTATAAGTGTTTTGTATGCTGCTTTAAATGTTTTGGTGTTTGTGCTTGTTTTGATGTGAGTGGTGAGTTCTTTTGCATTGATGAGGTGCCAAGGAGGAAGGTCGGGGAAAAGAAATTGTTCAAGTTCAATGTCTTTTTCGGAAAAGTATTGTCTTTTTTATATCTTCAATGACTCTGAGACAGAAAGGTTTGATGAGTTTGTTGTTTTTTAATTTGTTTATAGTGTCTGGGTGTGTTCCAAAAATGGAGTCGTGCGCTGGATTTTCTGGTGATGAACTCTGTTTGATTGCGTGCTGAAGTGAGAGTTGTGTTCATCCGAATGTCAGTGATGGTATGTTAGCTTCAGCCTGGAGTCTTTCCCCTGAAGAAGTAAGGAAAGCCCCCAGGACGAGGCAGAGTCCTTAGTTTTGTACTGGGTCTAGCATAAAAATTTTCAGGGCATGGGGTTTTGCCGATCCGTAGACTTTACAGCCGTAGTCAAGCCTGGATAGGACATGAGAACAGTAAAGGTGGAGCAGGTGTTCAAAAGTCCTCACCCCACTCTGGATGTGTTAAAATTTTCAAAATGTTTAAGGCTTTCTGGCAGCTTACACTGTCTTTTATGTGTGGAACGAAAGCAAGTTTTTTGTCAAATATAATTCCGAGGAAACGAGCATTGTCCTGGACGAGAATCCTTTCCCTGTAAAGTATCAAATGCAGCTGCAGCATACAACTGCCTGATCGGCACATAAAACAAAATGTTGAGGGTACGGTACTAAGAAAAGAATAATATGCATAAAAGCAGTCTAAATTACCTGTCATGAGTAGCTATTCCATCCTTTTCATATCGAACATCTTTGGCATACTTGATAATAAGACAGTCGTAATTGGCTATCAGGTACCGCTTCAATCTTCGCATCAGTTCAGTCCTACAAAAAGATGGAACAGGAAGTTGCACAACCATGGTAAGGAATAGAACTTTCAATCAGCGAAAAATTTTGACATTGTAATACACCACCTCTTCACTGTGGATTCAATTCTTTTTTAACCAATGATTTCAGAATGTCAAAGTTACAAGAATTAGAGGTTCTACTGCAAAGCACACATCATAAATCAATAATGAATCTGGGGTTATTAGTATTATTACTATTCGTTACGACACTGTGGTTTTTGGGCATGTGGCAATTGTCTATCTTTCAATTAAAAAAATACAGATCTATCTTTAAAAGAAGTCGATAGAAGTCGAGATATTTGCATTGAATGAAGTAGGTTCATCTGGTTTCAGTCAAAATTACAAGCGAGAAAATATAATGGCCACCAAATCTTGGTATCTTCCAATGCTAAAAAGTCCTTGGAAACTGAAAATTTACATATTTTGTGCCTTAATCAATGGGGGGGGGGGGGTTATATAGTCAAATCCACACAGAAATGTGTTTTTAAATGGACAAAAGCTGCTTGAGCTAACAAATTTTAAAAATCTTTTTTAATTGCCAAACTGGCAGGAAAATTAAGGCATCTTCATTTCATTTTATCTTGATGAACACCTGATTTCACCACAATGCCTCACATTTAATTTTCATAAAACTTAAAGAGTCAATATGGTCAGGTACTTTTCGTAAAATCTGAAATAATGAACAAAAAGCTGTAGGAATCACACCAAAAAAAAAAAACAAAAAAAAAATTACAATTGGAGGACTGTTACACAAGATAAAGGATGTGATATTAGTATTATTAGAACTCTGGAAATTCCTACTTGCAGAGGAAACCCCCATTTCTACAATGATGAAGTGAATTAATTACAAATTACATCTATGGCAGATACACACACTACTTACGTTTTACCAGAAAACATGGGTCCAAAGATTACCTGAAAAGAAGCACATATAATTTTGAAAATGATACACATAATAAAAAAATAAGCTTGAAATATAATATAATTCTTTATTATAAAACCAACTACTGAGAAACAAGAGCTTATCATTACAGTGGATCTCAGATTCAACAAAGTCGTTGGGCCCGACCTTTAATTTCGTTGAATCCGAGTGTTTTATGTTTTTGTGGGGTTTTTTGTATGAGTTTTACGACGCTCGCAACTGCATACGGTCATATGAGCGCGTGAAACACAAGTTGGTTGCATTCACAACTGTTCACTGCACGACTGGGCTTGGGTCAATATCAGATTTTAAAGTGTTAAAAATTTTAGGTAAATAAGTTCTTAGTTGTTTTTTTTTACTTTTAAATAACATTAAAAATTTTATAGCAATTTTATTCATAACTTCCCATAAAGGCCAATGGCCTTCATAAAATCCAGAACTCTATGTATATATGGGGTTTTAGGGCGCTCGCAACTGTATAAGGTCATATGAGCGCGCGAAACACAAGTTAGTTTTTTTAATACGTAGTTTACTGCACGGCTGAGTATGGGATTTTTTTTATCTTCAACGTTAAAATATTAAAAATTTTGTGTAGATATAATTTCAGACTAAAACAACTTTCATAAAAAATTTTAATAATTCAATTTTGTTCTTTAGTACTATTTTCCATACAGGCCAATGGCCTTCATAAAATCCAAAATTCAGTTGGGACCAACGACGGTAAAAATGTCTTGAAATTTTTTGCATTTAAAGTATTTCCTTCGGATCTCTCCAAAGTCTAGACATACGGTTAAAATGTGTCTAATGGTAAAATCTGTGTTGCATCCAACACAACAGCTTCTCATCTCCCCGTAGGAGGTATTTGTGGGTCAGGGCCGTGTGTCCGATGCGCAATCAAGTAAAAATGACTTCGTCTCTTCTGGAGAGGTCCAAAGGATTTAGCGGTTCCGGTTTAGGTTTTATATGATAGAGTTTGTTATTTTTCGTTTTTTCCAGTGGCTCTCCCACAGACTGGAGGTGTACTTTTTTTACTTCATTTTTAAAGTCAGTCTGTGGGAGAGTGTTCGTCGTTGATCCCAACAGAAGGGATGAAAATTTCTTCGCCAGGTCGTCTACCTGCTCGTTTCCTCGGATGCCCACATGGCTAGGTATCCAAGCAAACATGATATTTTTTCCTGTTTCAGATAGGGTGTGAATTTTCTGTTGTAGCCTAACTATTTTTGGGTGTAGGAGTGTGTAGTTTGTGAGTGAGGTGATGCAAGACAGAGAGTCAGAAAGGATAAAGGAACTGTTTGTTAGGAGAATTTTCTACAGAGTCCAGTGCCATGTAAATGGCAGTGGCCTCCGCAGAGAAAATGGAGGCCTCAGGATGGAGTCTCCTCTGGTGTGTACTGTTGGAAGATAGGGCTGCGGCTTCCACATTATTGTCTTTTTTGGAGCCATCCGTGAAGATGAGCTCGGCACCGGGGTATTTATCTATTATTTTTTGTATTCTACTTTAAATGTTTTGGTGTCTGCTTGCTTTGTTGAGTGTGGTCAGCTGTAAGTCTACTTTTGCCTTGGTGAGGTGCCACGGAGGGAGGTCAGGGAAAAGAAATTGTTGGATGTCTTGTTTGGAAAAGTGTATATTTTTTAGGTCCTCAACGACTTTGAGGCCGAAGGGTTTGACGAGTTTTTTGTTTTTTTGGAATTTGTTTGTGGTGTCTGAGTTTGTATTGAAAATGCAGTTGTGTGCTGGGTTCTCTGGTGTTGAGTTCTGTTTAATTGCGCATTGTAGTGAGAGTTGTGTGAGTCTGAGTGCGAGTGATGGTATGTTTGCCTCGGCCTGGAGGCTCTCCACCGGAGAAGTGCGGAAACCCAAAGCGAGGCGGAGTCCTTGGTTTCGCACTGGGTCTAGCATTTTTAGGATATATGGTTTTACCAATCAATAGACTTGACAGCCGTAGTCAAACCTGGATTGGACAAGGGAGACGAACAAGTGGAGAAGGTGTTTAGAGTCCCCGCCCCACTCCGGATGCGATAGAATTTTCATATCTCTTAACACTTTCTGGCACCTCACACGAAGGTCTTTGATATATGGTACGAATGTGATTTTTTGTCAAATATAACGCTGAGGAAATGAGCCTGGTCCTGGAGGGAATCCTTTCCCCACACAGCGTCAAATCCGTCTGCAGTAGACGTCTCCCTGATCGGCAGAAGCACTGCAACCGTCTTTGACCGGGAAAACTGGAAACCATTATTTTCAAGTTTGTGCAGCTTGCAGGTGCCTTTCCATAGATCTTAGTTGAGGGTTTTTCGAACGGCAGCATATCAAGAAGTCGTCAAAATATAACGAGCTGTCTATGCTTTTTTGGAGGGTCTTAACGATGGAATTTATTTTGATTTCGAATAGGAGAGGTATGCGTGTAACGCCCCTATCAACACTTTTAGGATCTAAAAGGCGGGACCTCCTAGTTTAACTCACTTCAGACGGGTCACACAACAGTTGCGTGACCCCCGCCGCGACGGGTCTCACAAGCCCTGCGTGACCAACTTTGGATTTTTTTTTTCGCTCTACAAATCACGCACGGATCGCGAGACCCGCCTCGTACCCTTGTTTGGCCAAGCCTGAGCTACTTGGACTTCATTTCGTATCTCTGGGGCCGGTAGTTTTAAAGTTATTGAAGGTGAAGGACAGTGACCCCAACTGGGGTTGAACAGACCGGAACTCGCGCTTTGTTTTTTTCTATACAGCTGATAGTAATCCAACAGTCGCGTCGTAATAACGGTCGAAGAAGTCGCATGAACAAGAATCACATAATTTTGCCGTTTTCTATACTTCTGTGCGTTTTACTAGTTCTAGTGTCTCAGAATATATGTCTAATAGTTAGGATCCTGGATATGTACCCGAACACGGCCCGAGTCGTAGTTCTAGGGCTAGATCTAGCACTAGTACCGGTGTTGTTTTTCGCGCAACGAAATCACAACGTCGTGCCGTACATCTGTCTCATGTAATTCAGTGTATGGGTCTGAATCAATGCACAGACCAGCTTTCATATTTTCACCAAACACTCGCACATGTATACAAATCAAACCAGAACACTTTGAACTTTTATTTTTGTTGTTGCAGTGAATTTCATTCTACTTGTCACGTCTCTGGAAATTTTTCGGAAAATCAAATTCATGCCAATTTTTAAAAAATCATACAAATTAAAGTATTAGACTTACACAACTTTAGTTTTTTGTATTAGATTAAGCTTGAATGTTACTTTACTGTGTCAAAAAATGATTACAATAGGGTAATTCTGAGAGTTGTGATTTATTGAAAAAAAAACAAAAAACGCCAGTCTTCAACGCTTGTGACTGGTGAAAGGGCCCAGTCGCAAGTGAGTTAACGTCCATCTCCAAAAGGACCGAGCCAAGTGGGAAATTCGTGTAAAGTGCCTTTCCCAAGGACAAAATGTCAGACCAAGCTGAGACTCTAACCCGAATAGGAGAGGAGAAAGGGTGCTTCCCTGGGGGACACCTTCCTCTTGTTGGTGGGGGTCTGAAAGGGAGGATCCGACACGAACCTGGAAGGAACAGTTCTTCAGGAAGTTGCCAATGAAGGCAGGGAGGTGACCACGTATGCCGAGAGCATGCAGGTCTCTGAGAATGCCGTACTTCGAGGTTGTGTCAAAGGCTTTTTCTAGGTAAAAAAAGATGGCGATCATGTGGCCTCCTTTGGCAAACGTCTCGTGTATAAAGGTCTTCAGGCGGACCAGGTGATCCAGAGTGGATTGTATTTTCTTGAATCCGCACTGAAGACCGCTCAGCAAGCCCGTCGTCTCAAGAAACCCCATGAGTCGCCTGTGAATAATTTTTTCTTTAAGTTTGCACCAGACCTGCCACTCTATGAAACCTCAAAATCAGGATCTCAGGGAGAAAAAATCTGGATTTGGTGAAAAAATCGGGATCAACAGCAAATCACCAAGGTGACTGCCAAAGCTGGCTTAAAATTTTTCCCGTGGTGTCCATAAATTCCTTGGCCTATATGCCCTGTGTGTCTTTGTGTGTGTTTGCGTGCGTGTCTTTGTGTGCGTGTGTGTGTGTGTGTGCGTGCGTGCAAGTTATCATTATTTTTTGTAAATCCTGAAGAGTCGCGTCAAGCACTCCTAGTCCAAGTGTCTATGCCCCCACCCCTACCAATAAGTCCCGGAATACATGAACTTAAGCTGACCCCGTCAACGGACGGTCCCCGACACGCAGAACTCACACGGCGATGTCATGTCACGTGACGCGAATGAAACAATTTTACTACATGTAACGGGTCCGACTAACTGCACATTCACACAAAACACTCGGATGAGCGACAGTCGTTCCACTTCTAGGATAACAACGGCGGCCGACGACCAAATAATAATATACCAACAAATCTCTTATCCCTCATAATGCGTTCAGACTAAACAAACGACAACGGCCGTAAGTTAGTCTTGTCAGCGCAGTTACATGTTAGTTGTGTAAGGGTTAGAAAGACTGTCGCTCGTCCGAGTGTTTGATGTGAACGCGCAGTTACCAGACCTCGGACAAGGCTTGTTTTGAAAGTAACAGCGGAACAACGAATATTATCGATTATTATTAATTAAATGTCCCAAATTGTAACAGTTGCTAGGCTATCATCGGAGAATTCTGAGTGCGGGAAAAGATCACACACAACTTGGGGCGAGTCAACTACTAAATGTGGCATCGATATTTCGGGAAATAATGCTTCGAGTTCCTACTGACAAAAAGTTCAACGGGTGCTTCCCACGATAAAGGAGAAGGCAGAGTAAGTTTTTAGAAAAATCCGGCACAACAGCAGACTGGGACAAAAAATCGGGATACACGCGATCGAAATCGGGAGGATTGAGATTTGAGGCAAAAAATCGGGATATCCCGACTAAATCGGGATGAGTGGCAGGTCTGGTTTGCACAGACAGCTCGTTAGTGCTTTTGGTTTGTAATTGGATGGGTGCGTTGGGTCTTTGTTAGGTTTGGGTATTGGAATGACAGTGACGAGACGCCAAGACTCCGGAAAGGAGTGCGACCGCCACATGTCGCTGTTGACGTCTAGTAGGAGTGTAAGTGTTTCTGTGGGTAAGTGTCTGATGATCTGGTTGTGGATGTCATCCAGACCTGGGGCTGTATTGCCCAGATCCGAGATGCACGATGTTAGTTCATCTAATGTGAAGTCTGTGTTGTAGGTTTCAGTGTTGTTTGAGTGGAAGTTTAGGTGTTGTTGTTCTCTGTTAGTTTTGATGTTTTGGAAGGTGGTGTTGTAGTTTGCTTTGGATGGGTTTTTGGAGAGAGATGTTGTAGCTCTCTATTGAGTTTGCGATGTCTACCTGTGTTTCAGCTATGGTTCCATCCGGCCTCTGGATGTGCCAGATGGTGTCTGTGTCTACCCAAAATTATTTTTTTTGCGATTTTAAAAACTTGGTTGATTGTGTCAGGCTGTTGACTTTGAAGATGTATTTTCTGAATGATTGTCTTTTGCTCTCCCTGAGGCATCTACGTGCCTTAGCTCGAGCTTGTGTAATCAATTAAGTAATTAATTATTTTTTTCTGTGGTGGTGTTGTCGACAGCTTTTCGATATGCTGCCTTCTTTTTCTTTACTACATCATCAGTCCCCAGAGAACCAGATCTTGTTCTTCCGCGGTTTTGGAGATTTTGGTATGTGTTTGTGGCATATTTCTAAACGTTTTTCATGGAATTTTTTTAGGTGAGGTTGACAGTGGGATTCAGAATCTAGGAGCATGCAGTGACGAACTCGTCCCAGTGTGCTTTTTTGAAGTTGAAGCGTTCTGGGATCGGGTCGTTTTGGAGGCTATTGTTTTTAAAAAGAATGGGGAAACGGTCCGTACGGTCATCCAGCACAGACCACTCAAGATCTGGGACTAGGTCAGGGGTACTTAAAAAGGTGAGGTCAAGGGATGAAGTGCCAAAAGTGGATCTGTTTCTGTAAGTGGGGGGCCTATCATTTAAGAGGCAGACGTTATTTTGGACAAAAAAATCTTCTACTATTTTTCCTTTCTGGTCTGTAGGTTTGTCTCCCCAAAGGGGGCTGTGGGCATGAAAGTCACCTAGCAAAATAAAGGGTTTTGGGAGCTGAGAGCTTTAAGTTATTTAGTTGAGTTATTTTGAGAGGGAATTTGGTGGGATATAGACTGTTATACTATGCTGAGCAGATTGTGATCAGTTTGAGCAGGGTGACCTTTACGGAAATAGCCAGGAGGGTTGTCCTAAGATGTATTTGTCTGTGGATTGTGTTGTTGTCGGTGTAGATGTTGGTTCCACCAGAAGCAGTCTGGTTCTCCGTGGGGATGTGATGATACGCAGTAAATCCTTTTTTAAGTCTATGGTTGAAGCCAGGGTGAGTTTTGCTTCTTGTATACAGGCCACAAGTGGGCACAGTGTGGCCTGTAAGTTACTGTGTAAGTGTTGCAATTCTGCAATGGAATGTCGGATTCCGCCGTCATTCCATTGCAGGACTGCCATTATGATGGCTTTTTATTTTTGTTTTGAAGCACGCAGGCTCCAGCTTTAAAGAAAAACTCTGACTCCTCCTTGTGGGGGAGGTGGAGTGTTTTCTAGGTTGCTGTCCAGGATTGGACGGCGGCCTAGTGGGGGATTTGAAGGAGTGACGGGCTCCTCCCTTCCCGGGGTAAGGTCGTGGAGGGGGTCGGAGCTGTCCTCGTCCATAGGTAGGGGTTTGTCTGCGGGGGTGGTAGGGGGAGGTGGAGCAGACGGAGGGGGCTGGGAAGGGGGGGGGGAGGGACACCTCAAGCTCCATCAGAGGGATGAGGTGTGAGGTGGAAGAAGAAGAAAAAGAAAGAAGGGATCTAAAGAGGGGGGGAGTGGGAGAAGGGGAGAAGAGAAGGGGAAGGAAGAGTCCACCCCGTCCTCCCCTAGAACCCCATAGCGGTTAGAAAGTGGCACCTCAGGGGTGGATGCCACAGAGAAAGAAGGGAGCTTTTTATATGTTTCGGTACAGTGACATGCTTGTTGACCGCAGGCTTTGGGAGGTCGGCAGTGGGCTGCCTTTACTTTAGGTATGACCAGCCAATGACTGGGGTCATAAATGGAGGGCAGACACGGGTCTTACGGGCCTCCTGGAATGAGCAGCCACTTCGCGCTTTGTACTCTCGGATGGCGCGTTCTTGGAGCCAAGTCGGGCACTCCTTGCTGAACGCAGTGTGCTGGCTGTGGCAATTGGGGCAGCAAGGACAAGCCTTGTATTCCTTTTCAGGATGCCCAGTCTTGGCACAACGAGGACACATGGCTGTGTGACGGCATCGTGACTGGCTATGGCCGAACTTCTGAAACTTGAAACAGCGCAGAGGGTTCGGCACATACGTTCGTGCGTCAAGTACCAAGTAAGATGCCCGAACGGTGGCTGGAGGGCGACACAATTCAAATGTGAGTATGATTGTGTTTGTGTCAATAGTGGTCTCCCCCCACCCACCCACAACACCCCCCACCCCACAGTTATTCATCCGGTGGGCTTCGACTACTCCCTCACAGTTGTCCACAATTTCAATTTCTTCCATGAAGCAGCCTTTCTTCACTACTTTCAGCTCATGGCTGCGAACAACGCCCTTCGAGAGGTTTAAACTTCTGATATAATCGCTCGGACTTATATGGAAGACGGCCGAATTGACAATTTTATACAGCAACATTCAAATCCACTTCACAGAGCATGTTGTTATCGATAGACTCTTAAGATAATTTAAAGTGGATATTATAGATCTAGATCTAGATCTAGATCTAGAATCTAGATCTACTGATGTACTTCTAACTGATAAAACTTTTAAAAAAAATATTTACCTGAATTTGTCCACAGCTCTCAACGCGACTCAGACTCAGATCTGCCATTTTTCCAGTTCTATTTTTTCGTGTTCAGGATGAAAGCTGTTTAAATTTCTAGATTAGAAAGAAGAGATTCTATATAGATCTAGATTAGATTTAGATTTCTAGATAGACATCTATATTTAATCAAGATCTAGATCTAAATCTAGATTATATCAAATAGGCACTTGGATATCGGCCCGCGCGGCCCGAGATTTTCGTTCACCTGCGGCCGCCGCGTTTTGTGTCAGAAATCGGGCCCCGTGAGGGGGGTACCTATTTGTTTTGTTTCGTTTATAGTGTTCTTTTCAATTTATGGATTACTTCCGCCTATCAAATTAAAGAGGAAAGAAAGGCACGTATTATGGCGTTTTCCACTTCGGGATCGGTTGTGTGTGTTCGGAGTTACAAGGAGTTAAAAATAAGGTAAGTTCAAGCCTTTATATTTAAAGAGTATATCTTTTTTTTTTTAGGTACTCCTCACAGTCTTTTCCTCAACCTTTTATCTCTTTTATTTGTTAATTTCAATGTTGTACGTTGAGGCATAAGCGTGTGAGCCCTAATTTAAATAGGTCACTCTCCATGAATGGGCATGACCTATTATCGATCGCGCTGCTGAGCGTGAACCGGGAGGTCATGGCGGCCATTGCGGAAAGCGAACTTAACCCACGCTAACGTGTATTGTTGGCGTTTATTACCTCTTAAACGGCATTGAAGAATGTTTTATAGTAGAAGATATGATTTATTTTAAATTTTGGAATGTAATATGTATCACTGTTGTATAGTTCTTATGAATTTGAACCATGTAACAATCAGTAAGGAGTCTTGGGTGGGGGGGAGGGAAATGTAACAGCCTTGGCCTTGTTTTGTTTCTGTGTTACTGTCACTGTTAGACCATCCATTTCACGCAAGTTTTTACTTCTTTTGTGTGCTTATATTGTCTTTAAATATTTTTTCTTCTTAATTGTTTTTGTGTGTGCTTGTTATTTAAATATCTCTTTAAATTATCATGTACTTTGTCCAGTTTGTTTTAAGATAGATCTACATGTTTATTAGAAAATGTTTTTTCTCTTGTCTAGTCATCTACACCCTCCCTTTACTAGAGTTGTAGTGTGAAAATGTCAAATTTCCATCCACTGCTCACAAATGAATTTATTTACTTCATTGATGAATTCATTGCTTTGCTTTTTTTTTTCTTTCCACAGCCCCTGATCACAACCTGCCACTGTTCCATTGGATTTATTGACAGCTCACCAGAATAAATCCTGACTTTAATTAAAATCCAGAAATGCTTGCGGAGTTGGTCGAATTCACAGAAAAACTTGTTTGAACAAGTTGCAAAAAAATTGAGCACTTAAGAAAGCATTTGTTGCAGACAAGGAAAAAAAATTGACATTAATTTAACAATATCAAGTTGGCAGACTGGGTGAACTAAACAATTGCCAGAAATAAAGAAAGAATAAATAAGTATCGTGACACAAATGCGTGCTTCAAAAAACATGTCATATTTCACAACTAATTGTCTTTGAAGAAGTTGAACATTTAAATAAACACAATAAAAAATATAATGAAAAACTTGCTGAACAAACTGAAGTAATAAAATTAGAAGAGACTATTGTTTAACTTACAGGGCAATCTCATGAGTTAAAGATGTAAAAGAGAAATCAAAGATAAAGACAGAGTAATTGATCATTTACATGACAAATTAAAACATGAAAGAAACATTCTAACAATAACATGCAAAATGAATTTAAAAAACAGTATTATCATGAATTAAGGTAGACTAAAAACACTAGTTTGCAGCAGCTGTAGACACAAATGTTAACTTTAAAAACTTCTATGCTCATCTTATTTTAGGCGACCAGCTGTTTTGTTAAAATATATTTTATTTTTTAATCAGTTTTTTTGTTAATTCTACTGATATTTGATATGTAGATGTTCCAAAAGAATGGCCTTAAAAAGACCTTCAAAACGATACCTCAATTATTGATGTAGCTTAATTTATAAGAAAGTTATGGCAAAATATATTGACCGCAGGACGGTGCGGTCACGTTACACAACACAGTGTTACATAATATTACCCAATATTACCCACCACGACATATTTTAAAAATCTCGTCTGACTGTTATTTTGTCCTCAACATCACAAGGTTTCAGAAAATGTTTGGTTTTTGCATGTACGCAGCAGCATATTGAAGCAGCTAACATTTCCCTTGTTGTCCTTGCTGTTTCGATCACAAAAATTGCCTTTTTTTTCTATATAGATGTTATCCCCTCGAAAAGATCTTTAAAATGCCATATCTCAAAAACGGTTCAACATAGAGCAATAACTAAGGTAGCGTTGGAATCGTGTCACTGAGCTCTTTGCATTGGTATTGTTTTTAAAGCAATTTGAAAGCTTTGAAATTTTTATCCAAGTGCCTATATCAAAGGAAAGGACACAGACACAGACCAAAACTTCTCACAAACTTGAAAAAAGGTCCTCGGACAAGTCGGTCCTTTTTCGGTAGTTCCCACCCCCCTTATTTGAGCCTGACCTCTACATCTAGATTAGATTCTAGATCTATATGTTTGATTTGCGGCAAGCTAAGATCAAACCTAATAAAACTGCAAAAAACATTAAATTAAATTGTGATAATTGATAGCTTGACTTGAAGCCCCCCTACTCTTGGGGCCAAAACCAGCGAATAACATTAATAACAATTGCGGGGTGGGAACTACCGAAAAAAGCGCCGACAAGTACAAGTCAACCACTTCCATTCACTCTGCCAACCAACTAAACTACTAAAGTCTAAAGACTAGATCTAGATCTAAGTAATACTAATACTAATGTAATAGTAATAGTCCAATAAATCTAGATCTTAGATCTACTGAACACTGAACAGTAGGTTGGCCTTCTATACAGTAAAGTAAACAAACAGACATATAAGCCTGCACTTTTGACTAGAATCTAGATTCTAGACTGACATTACGGCAGTACAGACACTGGACGCTGGACTTGGACACTGGACACAGACAGAGACAGTTGATATCGTTAGTTGTCACAGTAAACAGCAACCAAAGATCTTTGCAGTTTGCAGTTTGCAGCAAGCAACACCAACACAAAGCTGACAAACTGACAAGGTTGCCAGTTTTATTTACTTTTAATGGCTAAAGAAAAAGAAAGGGTGTTTTTTTTTTTTTTTACGCAGATGAGTTACACTCATCATAATCATATTTTACAGTGCGAGGACTGAAACGAGCTTTCAAAATTAAGAGAACTATTGTCCTTATTTTTTTTATTTAAAAACAAAACAAAACAACAACAGCATTGGAATAATAATAGTAATAAATTACTTACTTTACTTTTTCTTACTTTTTCGTCCTCCGTTGCCGTTAAGGGTCAAGGGGAGATCAAGAAGCTTAGAACTAATCTTTTAATCTCCTTGGGGGAGATATATTTATGCAGTTTTCTATGTGGTAGGCCAGCTCAGCAGCTTTTTCAGTTGTGATGTTATGTTTTCTTAGTGTTTCCTTGACACCCTCGATCCACCTTTTGCGTGGCCTTCCTCTTCAACAACACGAATTATAATAAATACACTTTTTTTTCCCGGCAAGGGCACGTACTTATTTGGTTTACAATGGCAAACATACAATTACATACATAAATTTTACATATAGGCCTAATTATAAATACGTATATAAATACATTCACAAATACTACATAAACACAAAATATTACACAAACGCAGAACGGTTTAAATTACAACATTCATTGTCGGCAGTGCCCTATATTTTGAGCTAGGGTTGTCGTCTTGCTAAAATTAAGGACACACCCCAGTGACCACCTTGTGTCACCGACACTTGTTTGACAATACTTGAGTCTGAACTTACTACTCATGAAGCCACTGGAAATCCATGAGGCTCGGTACATAGTTTTCCTTTTTGCCTGAGTAGACCTAGCATCATTCGACCCGACGCCGCCTAAGTTTTTAGCAGCTGATAGGCTAACAGATGTATGTAGATATAATACTAATAAGAGAGGGGCGGGGAGGGAGACAGAGAGAGAGAGAGAGAGAGAGAGAGAGAGAGAGAGAGAGAGAAAGGGAAAGAGAGAGAAAGAGAGAGAGAAAGAGAGAGAGAAAGAGAGAGAGAAAGAGAGAGAGAAAGAGAGAGAGAGGGGGAGAGGGGGGGAGAGAGAGAAAGAGAGAGAGAGAGAGAGAGAGAGAGAGAGAGAGAGAGAGAGAGAGAGAGATGATCACGAATTAATATCAATTAAAGCTCCGTGTGTAAAATGTAAATGTTATCATGCCTATACATGTAGTACAAGAACCATGATTATAATTTATCAAATTGAAAATTCGGAAATTATCAAGGATCCAATTTGAGAACAGAACCTTTATTTCTGGTGGCAAATACTTTGGGTTACTTTGAGTGGAGCGAGTTTTCAAAAACTGCCGACTTATTTCATTTTGGCATCTTACTGCCAAATTGGCATTTGAAATGAATGGTGGAATAAAATTTCCCGCATTTATTGATGTCTTCACCGGTTGGCTGATGTGTCAAGGGTCAGGAGGTCGTCGTCGTCACTCGTCACACTCGCTTCCGTGGCCAGTATTGCTCCAGATGGCGCTGCAGTCGCTACGAAGAGAGTTTTTAAATCTATTAATAATTAATTAATTGCCTAACGTTTTTAGATTATCATTTTATTATTAAACTACTGTCCTTAACTGTGCTATCGTTAAAAAATGCCATTCTTGCTCGTGTTTACGTGAATTATGACAATTGGGCATCAAGTCTGTCACTTTTTTCTAAACTAAAATAAATTTCTTGTAACTATACCTTGTTTTGTCACTCTAAAAAAAGTGTCATTGGTGAGCTGTGACGTCACATGCGTATATACAAAATGTGCGTGAGGAGCGGGAAGTGCTGTGAACTGTGAACAGTTCTACTTTCTGCGTGAAGACGATTTATAGTACATGTATTTTATATTATAAATTTATGAAGAAAAGTTTTTTAATCTAGACTCAATTGTGGAAAAATATGATTAAGTTAAAACAAATTGAGACAAACTGCTGTGCAAAGTATGGGTGACATCGATTCACCCAGAATATTGAGGATAAGTTGCGCCACGAATTTTTGACCGCACCGTATACAGTCGAACCTGCCTTAACACGGAAACCTAAAACGGAAACATGTCTTAACGGATCTTCCCGCTCCCCCTTGATATATTCCTTTTTAATTACCTGTATAAAACTGTCCTTAATGCACCCCGCAGGATTTAGCAAAATTTGATCATTTTTGCATAGTTTCTGATTATTTTCCTTTATCATTCTTGGTTAAATAAAATTAACAGAATCGAATAAGTTCACATATTTTGGCCCAGTTTGCATAAATTCAGAATTTTTCTTGCATAAAACGACGGGGACAGATAAAACGGAAACCTGTCCAACTCGGAAATGAAAAGAAAATCCGCTCCCTTCCGAGGGTTTTACCTCTCTACTAAGACGGAAAATGTTTTGTCTGCTCAGCCCTGATTTGAAACAAAACTTGCAATTTTGGTTCCGTCCGCCGGCTCTAAACTTAAACGCTATGCTGCCGGACAATGAAGAGGAGTATGCAATTTGAGAATAGATGTTACTTCATGACAATGTGAGCGATGAAGATGGTCAGGGTAGTGCGGGTGTGAAATCTCACGGGTGCCAGTAAAAGCGCTGGACAGTGGCAGTGGGTGAACCTAGATTTGGGTGGGGCTTAGGTTTCTTCCACTTTTTTACCACCAAAAAGCAAGCAATAAGAACAACACAGTGATGATTTTTCTATACTCACGGCGAGCCACGGCATTTTGAGAACCATTCAAACGAGAAGAGTCACCCTTGTCTGCCATCTCTTTATTCTACGTTAAATTCTTCTGGATGGTGGGGACGAAACCGTTTCACCTTCAAATTAGTTTTTATTTGATTATTGTTAAATCTCAGCGGCACAAGTACACAGCACTCCCAACACACACCGTGTATGAGGTGGATTGGGTCGTGTTGTTGCAGAAAATAGAACGCACCTAACAAAGGCCCAATGGGCGCGTAGGTAACTTTGTCACAGGGGGACAGGGGGAAAGTGTGTCGTAAACTTTCACCCCATTGTCAGGGCGGGGAGAGCATGAGCCCTCTGTGCATGTTATTTTTTTCAAGTCTTCTACCTTTTTACAAGAGGGGTTTCATTAAGGACAGACCGTGGGAACGGGCTGATTGATTGCTGAGCCCTAAAGACATTTGATTGGCTGTTATAAGGTTACTATAGTTGTAAGCGGGGACAACAGTGATTGGATAAACGAGCAAACCGCCTAGTTGATCACTCTGTGTTCATTGCGGTCGATCAGAACAGTTTCAACTGCTTATTTCGTTATTTTCATTTGCCTTGGGGTAGACTTGGGGGTGGGTAGGGGGGCTCAAGCCCGTGAGCCCTTCACTACCCACCGCCACTGGCGCTGGAGTGGCGCTCCAGTTCAGAAACTTTCATTGGTCGCCAGAGGCCAGAGGTGTGCTGTGAGATTAGTTTGACCAATGCCTGCTGACCTGATCGTACAGCCAGCCGAGAAAGGAGTTCCTCGAATTGTGGTTACATGGCAGTGAGGGGTGGCATTGGTTGACGTGGCTCTGCTTATTACACCAATGAGTGGGGCTAAGGGTGGAAGCAAAGGAGATATGTTCAAAGATTTATGTTTTTAATAGGTCAAACAGTAGTGGTCCTGAGAAATGCAAGCGCTGATGATAATTGGACTAGATAAGACTGACGCATGTCATTATCAGATCTGGCTCCTTTTTTTGGCTCCAAACTCCAAATGTTCACGGAGAAGAGAACAGAAGAGGTAAGGAAAAAAAAAGAAAAAGTAAGACTAAAAGAAAAAACATGAAAGTGAAGAAAGGAGCTTGGATTGCTTAAAATTATTAAACTAGTTGACACGATTTAACACCCACGCCCATTTGATCTGAATAATTTACTACCCTGTCGTGCAAGAGCATAGTCTGTTCATTGATGAACGATAAATATATTGTGTACAGAGAGGCCAGCTATCGTTAAGTGTGTAAAAAACGAATGTTCCGGCCGGCGGCCGGTCCCACATCCAGCTCAGTGTCGCTAGTGAGCCTTTTTGTTTTTACTGGAGAGGCGAAAAATGTTTTTACTTTATTATTATTTGTTCCCAACCACATGCGGTAAGCCACCAAGGGCATATATCTAGGTGATTTTATCGGCCTGTGAGAGGTCAGGGGGAGTCCTTGCCTTATGCCCACACAGGGGTGGAAGCTATTCTCACCAGCGGAGGGGGGGTGAGAATAGCGAGACATGGGTTATTCTCACCCGGGGGTGAGAATAAAGGTGGTCTTATCATTAACACAGTAGATCTACATCGTATAAGAATGCTACCCCTGTGTAGAGAAATAATGAAAAGAAGACCCCGCGTCCCAAAACGGTACTGGACACAGTATTTTTCTACGATGAGCGGTGCTTTTGGAGAATATCATCATCTTCTGGGGGGAGTTTGAAGGGGTGAGGAAAAATGTGTTTCCTACATTCGGAAGTGACCCGAAACCTTTCAAACCCTTCTTCATCTCGATGGACCTTATATTGAGAAAAAAATAATAAAATGAATAAACAAATAAATAAATAAATAAATAAATAAATAAAATTTGTGCATTGCAGCAATGAGCGTTTCGTTCAGTGACAACGAGTCCATTGTTGTAGGTTGAGAGGACAAAGACAATTCTGGTCATCTGATCACTTGCTGAGAGAGAACTGGGGGAACTTTTAGTTGCGAGATAAAACGGTCGCGTTCGGCTCAGCAACTGGGAGCGGCAGGAACAGGAGAGGAAAGGGAGAGGGGTGCACTCACTTTCCAGTGATGAAATAAGAGACACTCCCGATGGATTCGACAACTGGAAGGAAAGGTCAAGCTGGGAGCAACAGGGGACAGAGACGAAAACGAATGCAGTCAGTTTATATGTACCCTACGGGTCCACGGAGACGGACACGGCCCGATCTTGTGTCGGGAGGAAGAAAATCGGTCGCATCGTTTCCATCTTGGGTGTCCACCAGTT